GGGCGCTTCACCTAGCTGTACTAGATTATCTAATAGCTGCACTAACTGAATGAAATATGTAAAAATGGTGAAGCGGAATAACCAGCAATTGAACCAGTTGCACCCGCTTCATCACTAACTTCAACTGGTATTTCATCTAGTAGTTGACCATAACTGGCATTACCTGAATGCAGTAATGAATTGTACGATGCATCTAGTGGGAGTAACTAGAAGCAGCTAGTTGAAAATGCACTTGGCATCATTGCTCACCGTAAAGAAACAAAAGGCGGACAAAAGTTGACAAAAGTCGGAAAGTCTAATTTGCAAGAAAAAACTCTCGAGGCTGAAATTTAGGAAATGCTTCCTTCATGGGAAAAATCAGTTTAATTTAGATTTAACCGCTGACTGTGTTTGAGGATCTAAACCAAACACAACCAAATTCTATTTTCGTCAAAAACTGCGTCGGTGTGAGCTCTATCTACCATGTTGATTTGGGGCCTGAACCCATCTGCATCTAGAGGACAAAGTACCTCATAATTAGGTCCTTTTCGGCTTGAACTTGATATTTTGTGCTTGCCTTTGTTCGTTGAAGAATTTGACAATAAACCCATCCGAACTTTAACCAGCAACACACTGCGAACAAAATAAGTGTACCTTTTTTTAAAAAGTATGCATTCCCAATGCCGAAAAGAGTTAGTTCATGCAGCTACCTAGCAAAAACTTAGTTTTTTATATTTAAATCATTAAAATATTCATCTTTTAAAAGAAATCTTTCTAAAAAAGAAAGAATGTTTCTAAAATTTTAGAAGGCTTTTTTCACATTCTTTAGGCAAAACTACATATGCAAAAGTAATTTTAAAAGTGACAATCTAGCGATTTAACCTGAAGCTTGTAGATAACCAAGCCTTGCATCGTTTGCTCGATTGAAAACTTAAACAAACATCAACTGATACTAAAATTGATATGATGCCCGTGGCATACAAAAGGTGAAACTAGAAATGTATATTTGTACAGGTATGTATTCTACGACATCCTTCAATGTCCCGATAGCTCAGTCAGTAGAGCGGGAGCCTTTTAACTTCAATGCCTGGAGTTCGAACTCGCGCTCGCAGGTCCCATCATTTACCTTTTCCTATTATCTCATTATACTTTGATCATTATCGGTAAGAATGTTAAAAAATCCACTTAAACCGTTCGCCGACAAGTTTCCCTAAAATCATTTAAGAAAAATTGGACTTATTCGATTAGAACGAAACAAACATCAGTCGAACATTGATTTTACATTTTATTTATTCAACTTTCATATAATTACATTTCTGAACGTATAAACTGTTTTATGTAGAGTTGTCAAAAATTTGCTTATGAGCATCTACCATATAACCCGGCACACCAGTTTGAACAACAATCTTTATGATAAAAACAAGACGAGTCAGATGCAGAGCACCAACTAAAAGCTCTTCCACTGTCCGCCATTTTCTCTAGATGATTTGCTTCTTGTAAACATGCATGGTTAACTTCAACGAGAGGAAATATCATCGCTATAAATATACACAAGCCCAGGTAATACATTATATATTCTATTTAACAATTGAGAATGATGTGGACTGCGTATTTCGATATAAAAAACCTAAATCAAAATGACTACTCTACAATAGTGCGCCTTTCTCATGTATAGAATAGCTTTACTTACGTGTTTCTTCTACTTGGAATGAATTATCGACTTTGATTGACACATATTCACTTCCACCTTCATATAATTATTCTTACATTATGAGATAGAAAACACGTGTTACTGAATATTTCGCAGAAAGTTCTGTAATGACAGGTATTTCCCCGTAGTGACGCACAAAAATGATTGTAGTTGTTGTCACAGATAGATATTAAAAATAGTTTATACATTTGGAACGGGCAGAATTGAAAGGGCTAGCAAATAAGCTATAACACATTCTTTCAAATCCTAAGTTTGTTAGACTTGCATCATGATACGGTCCCATGTGAACGGTGGAATGCGGTATGTTATAGTAGCCGTTTACTGTGGCTCAGCGTGGAGTAAAATTTCTTTCTCGATTTTGATATACTATGGATAATGTCAATACCAGAAAAAGGAGGGTGGGCGAGAATTTCTGTAAGAACATGCTCCTCTATACTTTCGGTGATATGGGATCTTTCTCAAATTGAATGCTGGTTGATGAAACACTGGCGTAGAGAGCTCAGACGCATCGTGATTTTTGAGGAATGTTTCGTGGAGTTAGATGGACCGACAAAGGAAGGTTGAAAAAAGTAATTCTACCCAAAACTGTATTGGAATAAAGTGTAGCATAAACGTTTAAAGACCATGACTATTACACTAAATGTTTCGTCAGAAAAAATGTTTCATGCATGTTGTTTAAATTTCACTAGTATATGAAACTTTTATTTTATTTTAGAACTTTTTTTTTTTTGCTAGACGTCTCATTATTGGGAGTTCAACCTTTTACCACTTTAGGTGCTACGCTGCCAAGGTGTAGCGCACAGTGCTCGAAGTACAGGTTAATTGCACCGGAGTGTAGCTCACACGGGATCTGCGCCATCTGCGATTCGTGTTTGAACGCCTTAGCCGCACTACTCTAAATACAACTTGATAATAACGAATCAAATTATGTTATTAAGGATAATAGTAAAACGTTAGATGAACTAAATGTTAAATATCAGTCAAAAATCAAAGTTTTTATTAAACACTGTAATCTCATTACTATTTACATACAGAACCAAAAAAAATTTATATATCTAAATAACAAACATCTACTGCCTTTAGATGTTTGTTGATATCATTCAGTTCATAGTATTAAACAAAAAATTGAAAAAGTATCTGGAATACCGATCAATAAACAGATAATTATGTATAAAGACTATTCTAATATGAAGGAGAATACAATTTTATCTAAATATCAAGTAAAAAATCGTTCGAAATTAAAATTATTGGGAATGGAAAATACAATTATTAATGATCCTAAGTAATTCAATTTACCTTAAAGTAATGGCAAAAAATTAGAAAAATTTTATTGTATCTGATAATATGAGTAAGATGCACGCCGTGCAAACTAAAAGTGAAATGTATTTTGCAGTATATTATATATATTCTGAATCACCAGACGACGCTGATTATGAATATCACCTTTTTAGTCTCGAGAAACACTTTCTTCATTGACAAAAATCGGAAACACAGGAAATATCCAAAAAAATGCCAAAACTTTCGTTTTGAGAAAAAGCTCTGGATTTTTTTTTAAAGAAATCTACGAGTTTTTGCTTATCATTTTCAAATTTCTTATTGAAAACGGAGTTTAGACGACTTATACACGAGTCCATGTACCCTAATACAGATCTTTTGTAGGCTCTGGAACCTGTTACACTAAAAAATCCAAGAGCCTTTGCTCCAAAAGCCTGTCTAATTTTTTTGTGTGAAGACCTACAGCTTTGATTCGACCAACATCAAATTGGTCAGTACTTCAGCTTCAAAAGTATGGTTCGTTTTTTAAAAAATTATTTTTTCTTACTGAGAAAATTCATTTTTTCTAAATCAGTGGTGAAAAACTCGGAATTCTGCCCGTATTTCTCAATTTTCTTTTATTTGATCAACATTTAAAGATGAGACATGTGAAAAATTAAATGTTGAAAAGAATCATATATTTGGAATTAGAATAGAATTAGAATCATATATATAGAATTAGAATTTCACAACTTTAAATTAGAAAATACTAAATGTTTCATCGATTATTGAAATTAATTATGATTAAGTACTAAATTTAAGTTTAACAACATCTTATGATATGATATATAATATTTATTATAATTTGCATAACTTTTATATTCATCGATGGAGTACAATTAGTGATTTACGTATTTTGTTTCAACAACAATTTGATATTCCTTATTACAAACAAGAAATTTCTTTCAATAATAAAATACCTGAATTCAATAATTTAATTTCAAAATATCCTAATATTCAAGATAAGTCAGTTATTAATATTGTTATTCCACCAACGAACAAGATAGACATAATAATTAAATATATTAACGACGATAAACTAATGTTCTTGTCGATAGACAATATAAAATCACCAACTACAATCGAAAAATTAAAAAAACAATTAAAAAACATATTGGAGTTGAACATCAACATTTATATTTTAATAAAAAGAAATTTAACTTGAATAATTGTACATTAAACGATTATGAAATTAAAAATATACCAACAATATTTTTAATTTTTACAGACCTATATGATTATAATATTTATATTGAATATATAGATGAAAAATATAAAGTACATGTTCGAAAATCGAATACAATTGATTATTTATTCATAATTATGAAAAATCTTTATTTTGATCCAGACATATTTGTCTTTTTAAATTTAATCATTAATGGTGATTATAATAAAGCATTAGAAGACTATGGTATTAGTAGTAAATCAAAGGTTTTTACAATGAAATTAGAAACTATTCACATTGATTTAATGAATTGTTCACGGATCGAAGTTAATCCCAGCAAAACAATCGTTGGAGAAATTCGAGCCAAATTACTACATGAAAAACCAGAATTAAATCTTCTTCAACAATTATTTTATATTGATAACAAGATGTTAAAAGAAGACGATATTTGTAATGATGATGTGACTTTTAGACCATAGGCTTCGCACTTGTTATTGTACTTAAAAATACAAACATCAACAGTTGAAATTTTACCACTAGAATATTGTTCGGAAGATACAATTGAAATAGTTAAAGAAAAAATTAAGAAGATATTTCATATACCACTAAGACAACAACGACTCGAATTTCATGGTAAAACTTTAAAAATGATCAAACATTAAATATGAACAATATCGAACCAAATTCAGTTATTGATCTCATTGTTATTGTCATGGTTTATATTACAACTTCAATTAATGACATATTATCAATTGAAATAAGATTAAATGCAAAATTAAAACATATAAAAGCTTTTATTCAAAAAGAATGTATTCTTTATGAACAACCGAAATTATTCTATAATGGTAAATTATTAGATAACGATAATTAAACATTAACGGAAAGTCAGAAGATCAGAAAGTCTGAATGTCAGAAGGTCGGTAGATTAGTAAGTCTGGAGATCAGAAAAACCAGTGATACAGAAAGTCAGAAGATTAGAAACTCAGAAAGTCGGAAAGTCAGAAGATCAGAAAGTCAGAAGGCCAGAAAGTCTGTATGTGGAGAAACATCGAGCTTCGGAAGAAAAGAGATGAGGTTGCGGTCTGGAATCATCGAGTATGTCAGGGAAATGGATTAAGTTCTTGTATAGAGATTTTTAGCTCCGCAGGAAGGAAAGAAGGTTTATGTGTAGATACACATACTTGTGAGGAGAAAATATGAAGTTCTTGTGGAGAAACATGGCCTTGGGAGGAGAAAAGATGGGGTTCTTCTGCAAAAACATATGATTTGTGCAGAGAAAAGATGCAGTTGTTGTCGGGTGAGGGTGTCTGTTTCCCATGTCTACTTTTGTATTATTCTTTTATCATCTGTACTGCCTCTTCTGCAGAATTAATTATTCTCTGTGAATCGGTGTTATAGAAGAATGATAGAAATACACAGGAAACGAAACCTTATGTTGACGCAGTGGATTATTTTTTCTCACTTATCCATACCGTGTGTATAACCACCGATATCTCTGTAAAGTTAGAAAATGCTACAAAGGGCAACATGTAATTCGTCTGTTTCTCTCAGATTGAGTCGCTGTCTTGGTTGAAACGGTGTTGGAGTTGAACTTGTTTAAGTGGAGTTGGAGTTGAGTCGGAGTCGAACTCAGGCGGTGTTGCTCATCTCTGTCGTGGATTGTAAAAAAGTGTTTATGGTAGATGGTGTGCTCGAGAACGTAGTTTCAAAAATACATTAAAAATTTGTATTCTGCCGATTTCCTACGATGTGCTCAAGTAAGTAACGGAAAACACGATCGAAGTTTGGATTTTACAGTTTCGTAGAAAAGAGCAATCATTTGTGTCGAAAAGCCCAAACATGATCAAAAAATCCTTGATTTTGTTGGAGTTATGGTACTTTTACTGAAAGCACTACCATATGGAGAATGTAAAAATTAATGAAAAAATGCAAGACAACCGACAGAAAAATTATTATTTCAGCATGAGTTTTGATGTGAAACAGATTGACGTATAGCTGAGAGATAGAGTGAAGTTGTTATGGCACATATTAAAGACGTGCCATAAGAGACAATTGTATAATAGTCATATATATATTCGTTCTCTATTCTTCTGCTATGGGTATTTTCTCTTCCTGTCATATATGTATCTGTATTGTTCTCTTTCTTTCTGTCAGGAAATTTCCCAGTAATATCTCTTGGTTTCGTTCTGTACTGTTTCTTTTCTCCAAGAGATATTTCAATGTATTCTTTTAGCTCTGGGTTATAACCCACCGTTTCCGTTTAACCTCAGGTATAAATAGCTCCTAATTTTATGTAAAGATCATCTTGTTCAGTAATAAATTACTTATACACAACAACGTATACCGGACATAACAGAAGTCTTCAGTTTTCTTACTTTCAAAACGTTAACACAAGAAATCGCTTTTAGTTTAGAAAATTTTCATTCTTTCGCCTTTGGTATAATTTGCTTAGTTTTCTTGATTGAAGTTCTGAAATCAAAGTTTAGGTCTGATTTTGTAGAGTATTTCGCGGCTCATTTTCTAAAAGAATACTAACCTTAGGGCCTTAAAGAAAAAACACGAGACAAACAGAAAATACTAAGAGGCTCATTTTTTGCTGGCCCACGCGGTACTTCACAAAAAAATAAATTCATTTATTTTAACTATTTATTTACAGCAATCCTCAACAGTAGAAATACTCTGTATATATGATACGCAATCTATATGTATGTCTAAATGTGAAGACAGCATAGATTATTACCGTTTCAATTACTAAAAGTTTATTTAATTGAAGTTTGCTGTTAAATTTTTTAAAAAAGATATAACAGTTCCGCGGTTAAAACTTAAAATTTTTCAAAATTAAATCATAAAAAGAAATTCACCATATCGCATAACCTATAAGGTGCAAAAGTTTAAAGAAAACGGTTTTGATCCTGATTCCGAATATGATATTTTTATTGCACAAAAGCTGAGTTCTGATGGAGAAAATTGAGAATTACCAGCAGAAATCTGACTTTTTCCTCTCTGATTTCCAAAAAAATGAATTTTCTCTCAACGAAAGACAATTTGAAAAAAAGCCCTGCATATTATTTTTGCCCATGCAAAGACGAATCGAAAACAGTGCAAATGACTGTT